AGTCCCCGAGCAAATCTCCCTCCCGTTCACCCTCCCGCCGCTCTGCCAGTCCGCTGAGGCCAGGGCTGTTGGCCCCCGAGATGCTGTACCCACCGGGGACCAGCCCATCCCGGAGACTTGAGGTAGAAGCAAGCAGGAAGGCCCCAGTGCCTGCATTATATGTGACAGAAGCTGAAGCCGTCGCTCCAGCCTCGCAGCCCAAGTCCAAGTGGTTAGAGGTTGAGGAAACCATTGAAGTCCGGGTGAAGAAGACAGGGTCACGGGGGGCATCTCCTGTCCGAGAGATGCCCAGCAGTGGAGAGGGGGTCCTCTTCACACTGCCTCATGGGATCACTGGCAGGGACCCAAATGCCAACAACTCCAACAACAAGAGTGTGTCCCAGGAAGCTCGGACCTGCAGCCCCCCTATAGTCCATGTTGGTGAACCCTTTGTCTTCCATGTGGACCCAATGGGCAATGTGGACTGGACAGCTGCCATCCCTGAGCCAAAGGAGGTCGGAGCCTCCCAGGAGGAAGAGAACATTGCAAAGGATGAAGGAGACAGCGACAGAGAAGAAAATACCTTCCTACTAGAAGAACCCCAGGACGTGGGTAGCCTTCAGGGCCGTGACCCCAAAATCCTCACGCACAATGGTCGGGTGCTAACATTAGCTGACCTGGAAGATTACGTACCCGAGGAAGGAGAGACCTTTGGCTGTGGGGACCCCACCCCCAGCATCCCTGATGAACCTCCCTGCGAAGTCTCCGTGCTCCAGAGAGAGATCAGAGAGCCCACTGTGGGGCAGCCTGTCCTACTCAACGTGGGGCGTCCTCCAGGCCCCAGTGCCATACCCAACTTCTTCAGGTCAGGACCCCAGGTCCACAGCCCTGAAGGGGTCTCCTTCCTCTTGCGTGAGGCCTGGACAGGGCCAGTGAGTGCCACCCCTTGGACAAGCTCCTTCCGTACCCATGTCCAGAGTTCTGTAGATGGCGGCCAGAATAGCTTCAAGACAGAGGTCTCGACCCAGACAGTCAGCTTTGGGGCCATAGGAGAGACAGTCACTCTGCATATTAACCCAGATGGGGGAGAGGCCCCAGGCCCCTCCCAGGGTTGATGCCACACCCTGGGGACAGAACCTGGGGCCAACAAGGTAAGGTAAGGCGAGTGGCCCAGAACCTCGGGCCCTGCCAGGTACCAGCGTCTACCTTGGAACCCACAGCTTACCTCGGGGACCTCCCACTTCCTGCTCTTCTCCAGCCTGGGATGGAGTCTTCCTTGCTTTCCTGCCCGGTCCTTCCTACCTCACTGGACTTGTTCTCTGCCGGGAAGACGGGGAAGTACCTGCCATGTTAGAATACGCTGCTGTCACAAGAGCTCTGGCCAGGAGCAGCTGAAAGACCCCAGCTTTGGACTTCACCCTACAAACCTTCTGTGGGGCTCTCAAAACAAGATGTGGACTTGGGTGTTTGCCCTGAGACATCTCCACTGAGGGTCTTCCCTAGGGCTGCACCCAAGGCATGTGTTGGCCAGCTACCAGCTCTGCAGATCTTCAGGGCCACGTCTGTGGTGACACAGGCTGCAGGGTGGGGGGAACTCCCAGGCTGTTACCCTGATGAGAACAATAAAACAAGTCCCAAACCCTCCTCTCTGCTTCTTCTTGATTGTTCACCTAGAAGTTTAGGGTCCTACTCTCATTTTTTCAAGGTCACATCTCAGGTCATATAGGACTCCTAGGATGGTTATCTATCTGTGTACCCAGTCTGTCTTGAGCTCCACGGGTAGAGTAGGGTCAGCGGTGAATCTTTCCTTGACAGTCTGTGGGACTGGTCCTTGAGCCTCACAGTGTAGACCAGGGCAGCCGTCTTGATCCCTTTTGGCCTGTCAGAATCTGGCGGGCCTTCCTAAGCCGTGGATAGTTGAGGCTGTTGTAGGACAAATGAGGAGTCATGCATGAGACTGGGTGACCCGCGTGCCCTAAGCTTTCAGCATATAGGGGTCAATTCCATTGTCTTCAGAGGAGAAGACCTTGCGCTTGTCTGTGAGTGCCAGGCAATCTTTAGCCCTGAGGCTGTTAAAGATTAAAAGAAGTAAAAGGAACTCGGCAAACAAGAAGGGTGCTGCTGACCTCTTGGAGTTGGGAAGAGTGTCTGGGTTCCCGTCCAGCCTGGGTCTGGGGATGTCAGAGATGCCTCATCAGCAAGCACTGAGGAGGATCTGGGTGGGGAGACGGTTCTAGGCAGGGAATTTGCTAGCAAAGGAGAGGTAAGCAATCCTGGGGCAGCTGTGTGGGAACCCCGTGTGGGTCTGAAAGGTACAGCCACACAGGAGAGGGTTAGAGGATTCTGGGGTTGCTCACTAGGAGCTGGGGAAGGACATAGGCCTGGGCTGGGCTTGGACCTCTTAGGTAGGGGCAGGAAGCTGTCAGTCACATGGGGCGAGGCCTGCGTGCCCTGGGAGGTGAAATATGGGCGTGGCTTCCTGAACACCCAATCCTCGGTTCCCCTGGCACTTGATATGTGCCAGTCTGTCTAAGCTTTGGAGTCTAGAGCCGGCTTTGAGAGGAGCTAGGCCTAGATGAAAGGTGTGTGGTACTGGAAGCACACTGAAGACAGGGGCTTTCTGAAGGAGATGTGCTTGACCTTTAGCTTCAAGGAGGGTGGCCCTGGGTTTACATGTCTCTGGAGGAGGAAAGAGTGGCCCTCTGTCTCTGGGCTCAGAGCTGCTCACTGTCCCATATCCTCCTGGGCCTCCCCATCCAGGTGGTTTCCAAAGCAGGGAACAGCAGACGGCAGGACAGGTGTGAGAAAGCAGTCTCTGAGAACTGGGGTGGGCACTCAGAGCCTGTGCCTGGGATTTCGGTCCCCAGGCCAGACTTACCTTGTGTTCCCATTCTCCTGTCCACAGACGCCTCTGTGGAGGACTCTGTCCATCCCACCCAGGATGGAACTGACCAAGAAGCCACTTCTGTCCTTTGGAGAGTGCTGAGCTCAGAAGCCCCCAGCCCCTCCCTGGGGGATTTCCCCTACACCAAACAAAGTGAGCCGTCTGCATTTGAAGAGGCTGCTCCCCAGATCCCAGGCATGACAGCCTCAGGTACACCTGGTGAGGCCCAGTAAGGAGCTGACTCCAAAGACTTCTCCTCTCCCTAACTTGCTAACCCTACCCCATCCTTGGCCATACCATCCAAGGGGTCACCTTGATTGCCCACTCCATGCTTACAAACTTGCAGAGCTCTGGGTCACCTTGGGATCTTTATGGCCTCATGTGCCATCATGCACTTTGCTTGGTCAAGCCTAACCTTAACTTGTCCTCAGTTTTCCTATCTGTGAACTGGGCACACCCAGTTCACCTATGCCATGTACCAGGACCCAGAGGTGCCCAATCCTACCTAGAGTCTCAGTTTCCCTAGGTGTGCCATCTGTTCACTTAGTTTATCCCAAATTCTTCTTTTCTAACTAGTAAATGTGGTGTGTCTTACCCTGTCGATGAGTAAAGTATCCTCCATGGGGTCCTAAACTGCCACCTGTGTCCTGCTCTCATGTCACCGTAATGCCAGTCTGGCTGGATGTGCAGGTCCCGGAGGGCAGAGCATCTCCATCCCAACGCCAGCCTGGCTGGATGTGCAGGTCCCGGAGGGCAGAACTTCTTCATCCCAATGCCAGCCTGGGCAGAGCATCTCCATCCCAATGCCAGCCTGGCTGGCGGTCTAGGATATCAGGCTTGTCACCTTACTGGGGAACTGGAGGACCTCGATGTCTGGCTTCAACAGGACAGCCAGCATCCATTACTAGGCTGTGGGGGCCAGGGATCATTGTGGGGGCCTGGTTCCTACTCAGCGCCCTGGTCCTGGAGCCGCTCTTGACTTTGCGACTCACCCCACACTGGCCACATGGGGTCCCGTGCTTGTTGAAGAATGCCCTCCTGACTCCAGCCTAGAGTCAGCTCATCAGGCTTCCTGTCTCCTGCCAGCCGAGTCCCCAGAGGTCTCACAGCCTGACACCCACAAAGGCCTGGAGCAGGAGACGACCACAACTTCTGGGGCCCAGGGACGGACTGTACCCATTCGGTAACTTCCTGAACTCGATGGGTCGTGGGTGGGTGGACCTGCCCTCCGAGGGACATCCTGGGTTGGCAGAGCAGGTTGGCCTACCCGCTCTGGCTTCGTGGCCTTGAAGAGTTGGCAGGGTGGACTTGATGCTCTCCAATGCACTTCTTACAGGTTCTAGCCAAGCCGGTGGGCAGGGGAGGGAAGAGGAACCCACCCTAGAGCCTAAGGGAGAAGCCTGGAGCCTCTGCCCAGACATCTGACCTCACAAATAGGGGCATTAGGGTCACCATCCCTTCCTGAGGCACAGCTACCTGAGAGGTACAGAGTCAGGGTGCCTCACTGAGCAGAGACCACCCTACCTTGACTCCAGGGTGGAGGGCACAGCCTGGCCAGGTGCAGGCACAGGGCAGCTGCTCTTGGATGTGCACAGCCGAGTCGTCATGGAGACCACACAGAGGACCTATGTGTACCCGGCTCCTGATACAAGTGCTGCAAGTATGGAAGTGGGCCATCCAGATGGGGGTGTACCCATGCCGGGCACTAGGAGAGTTTTTATGAGGGCCTGATTACATCACATGGCATGCCTCAGCCCACGTTCCTCACCCTCCTCTTTCTGAGCAGCCCCTTCCCTCTTCTCTGGGAAGAGACCACCAGCAGCAAATGTGGTACCTGCAGGTTCTATACTCGAGAGAGCTTTTTAGCATTCTGCCTGCTTTGGCTTGATTGCCCATATGATTGCTTGGCCAGCTGACATTAAGGCAGGGGAAACAGAGGCTGGAATGAAGAAAGCCCTTTGTGCCCGCTAGATGCCTAGGCAGTGAGGTGCTTGGGGTCCCTGTCACCAGGGAAGGAGGTGGGCTTTCTGGTCCAAGGAGCACAAATCAAGGCTTCACTGACCACAGATGTATGTGGTGCACCTAGGGCTGTGAAGCCCGAGGGTTCACACATGGGTTCTTTTTTCACCTCTCCCAGGGGCCCCATCCATGCAGGTCACTATTGAGGATGTACAGGTAGAAGCTGGTGACGTGGCACAGTTTGATGCTGTCATTGAAGGCAACCCACCTCCCACAGTGACCTGGTACAAGGTAAGAGCAGGCCCAGGCTGCAGGGGGAGGAGATAGGTTTCAGGGGCTGGAGGGTATGGGTACATGTATACGTGAAACCACGTGGGCGTATTGGGGCTCATGCACCCCACCTTGCAATCTGCAACCCCCACTCCACGGTCCCACCCTGCAGTCCTATCCTGTACCTTCCCATCCTACTTCTGGCCTGCACCTGGGGCTGGGCATACAGCAGGTATTGGAAGCGCTGCTCCAGGAAGAATGTGCGGGTCCAGGCACAAGTATCTCCCAGGTCAGGCTGATGGTAACCCGGCCTGCCTCTTGTGTGTTCAGGACAGCAACCAGCTGATGAACAGTGACAGGCTGAGCCAGCGGCAGGATGGAACTAAGTATTCCTTGGTGTTGACTGACGTGGCTCCAAACGACGCTGGCGTCTACACGTGCCTTGCCCGCAATGCAGGGGGACAGGTGCTCTGCAAGGCGGAGCTGCTAGTCCATGGTGGTGAGTTGCTTGACTCCTGCCAGGTCCTGGGCGGGGTACAGGGACCAGGGAGCAGTCCCCGTCCGTTGTGTGGGAGAACAGTGGGGCCAAGGCTGTCATCACTGCCTGTACTGTACATAAACCTGTACTTTGACCATAGGGGACAAGCTAGACTCAGAAAAGCAAGTATATAGGAGAAAACTGCATTCCTTCTATGAAGTCCAAGAAGAGATTGGAAGGTATGGCTTCCCCACCTTCCGCGCGACTTGTGTTCCTCCCCAAGGACTCCTCCTCCACCCTCAGCATGACACCTACCGTGGTTCCCTCTCTCCCTCTCTCCCCCAGAGGTGTGTTTGGTTTCGTGAAAAGGGTTCAGCATAAAGGGAACAAAATGTTCTGTGCTGCTAAGTTCATTCCCCTGCGGAGCAAAACTCGGGCCCAGGCGTACCAGGAACGAGATATCTTGGCTACGCTCAACCACCCGCTGGTCACTGGGCTCCTGGACCAGTTTGAGACCCGGAAGACTCTCATCCTTATCTTGGAGCTGTATCCTGCACCTGGACCCTGGGAGAATCCAAAAGACCTGGGGTCCCAGGCTAGGGTTGGAGTTACTGAGTGTGGGGTCCCAGGGCCTGGATGTTATAGTGACAATTACTAGCCACACATCTGAGCATTCCTGTTCCTGATGCTGTGACTATGTGTGACAACAGCTCCTGATCCTATAAGTCACCATGTCATGATTTGGGGGAGGAGGCCACTATACTTGCGGGCTGATCCTGAAGGATCTCAGCAAGGATAGCCTGGGGACCCTCTCACAGGGGACCTCTTTCTTATTGGAGAGGATTTCCCCATCCCAGCTCCTTTAAATCTCCGTCACTCTCATGGGGCCTTGTTTGAGGGTCTTCTGTCCTGCATGGTCTAGCTGCCCTGTTGTTCCCAAAGCTGTGTCTTGGGATCCTGGGGAATGGGGTGCTTAGTGTGGGCTCTTGCAGAGATGAAAGAGCTATTGCCCAACAGCCTGTCACCAGGGTCTTTCTGAAGACCTCTTTCTCAGGGATGGTAGCCATCTGGGACCCTGGGGGGTCTCCATTCCACCCTCTTTCACCTGAATACCAGCACCGCTAGATCTGGATTGCAGGAGCGTCAGGCCCTGCACACCGCTCTGTGAGCATAGGTGCCCAGGAGTCAGGCGGGTTCCAACCAGTTGCAGCTTCTCCTTGACCAAGCTGAGGTGCTCATCCGAGGAGCTGCTAGATCGCCTCTTCAAGAAGGGTGTAGTGACTGAGGCCGAGGTAATCTTTACCCTTTCCTTGCCTGAATGGGGCCCTAGGGTCAGTCTCTCTTGACCTAAGACCCTTGTAGCTTCCAGGGTACCCAGACATATCCAGCTCCTACCCCTCCTGGCCCTATCTGTTCAGCTGTGCTGGTGATGCCCTCTCCTCCCTGATTTGAACAGGCTGCTGCCTCCTGCCTACGCAGGCTCAGCCCGTCTTTGGGGACCCCCCTCTACAGCACTGGGGCTCACAGATTTCCTGAAAGACTTTTCCAGTAACCTGTCATGTGGGGCCTGAATTAAGAGGAGGAAGGCTTGACGACGGGGGCAAGCGGGAATGTAATAGAGGAGGAGGCCAAGGCTGGCCCCTCACTACCCGAGCCAGCCTCTTGGGGCTGGTCCCCAGTTGAACCAGGCTTTTTACCACAGGTTAAGGTCTATATCCAGCAGCTGGTGGAAGGCCTGCACTATTTGCACAGCCATGGTATCCTCCACCTGGATATAAAGGTACTGACCCCAGGGTACCTCCAGAACTCAGGGTGGGGATAGATGGGAGCCTTCCTATACTTGTGTTGCAGTAGGCATAGAGGACTTCCCAGTCCCCGGGTAGGGTTTGGATCAGAAGGAGTAGAAGAGGTGATGCCGGGTCTGACCTTGGGGATCCCCACTGCCCTTTGCTCCAACAACTCTTCAGTGCTCCCCGAGGCCCAGAAGGATAGGCGTCGCCTCTCTCATGACATGTAGCCCTCAGCAACTCCCCAACTCTGCCTGACAGCCCCCCAACATCTTGATGGTGCACCCAGCCCGGGAAGACATTAAGATCTGTGACTTTGGCTTTGCCCAAAGAATCACCCCTTCAGAGCCACAGTACAGCAAATATGGCTCACCTGAGTTCGTGTCCCCAGAGATCATTGAGCAGAGTCCTGTGAGCGAGGGCTCAGACATCTGGTAAGTGGGTGGACCACAAGGAGGGCTGTGCTTCTGGAAGCCCCTGCTCTCTGTCTGTCTGTCCGTCTGCCTGGCAGCTGAGGATCCTCTGAGCCTCTGACTCCTATCCCAGTCCCAGGCTCCTCCAGCCCCCACAAGCACACCCCCTGCCTGTGGGCCAGGCCTGGTTTGACTCACAGTGTGTGGTGCTTTGATTCTTGCAGGGCCATGGGCGTCATCTCCTACCTCAGGTGAGCAGACCCTGCCCTGTCGCCTCTTCCAAGCTGACCCCTCCATGTAGGCCACACACACTGCTGGCCACTGCCTACCTAGATCAACCCCGAGACCTAGCAGGCGGCTATTTTAAGACCAGGCTGGAGGCCAACCCTGATAACAAGGTTTCCTTTAACACTTCTCACTAACAACCAGCTGTCACGAGGCAGAGCTTAGCCACTTTCCTGCAGGTCTGGGGGCTTGCCCATGGGGCACGTAGTGGCCATTGCTGCCCTGAAGGTGCTAGTGGTATAGCCTGAGCTTGGATCTCCTCTGTGGGCTGAACCTTGATCTCTACCTTGGTAAATGTTGGTCCTACTCTAAGTTCCTCTTCTGAACCTGAAGTTCTGCCTCGGATTAAGGCTGGGCGCCACCTCAAACTGACCTTCATACCTGGATCAGCTTGAACCCAGATATGTCCCTCACATTAAGGCTAAATCTATATCTTAAGCTGAACCCCAGTCTCTCTCCTATTTTGGACATGAGTCCTCATGTCAGGATAAGGGCAAGTGACCACCCTAGGATGAGCCTTTATCTCTACCTAGGTCAGAGCCAACACACCACTTCAGGCTGAGCTCATATCCCCTCCTCAAGCTGAGCCTTCGATAGGACAAGTCCTAACCCCCATCTCAGATTCTTCCTTGATCCCTGTCTCAGCCTAAGCCTGGATGTACATCCTAGTCTGAGCCCTGAGAACGGCTCTAGGCTTTGCCTGGCTCTCTGCTCCAAGTCAGTCCTGGATCACTGTGGTCCAGCCTGAGGCATCTGCTAGAGCCCTCAGGTCTAGACGAGTGTAGTGCATATCCAGCCTGGGACTCTCCTCTAGAATCAGCCTCCTCCTTCCCGGCTTTCAGCCTGACCTGCTCATCCCCTTTTGCTGGAGAGAGTGACCGTGCCACCCTGCTGAACGTTTTGGAGGGGCGGGTATCATGGAGCAGTCCCATGGCTGCCCATCTGACTGAGGATGCCAAGGACTTTATCAAGGCCACACTGCAGAAGACCCCCAGGTGAGTGCACACCTGTCCCTTCACCTGCCCAAGCTCCGGTCACCCTGGCATGGGACCACCTGACTCACTAGTCCACCTGTTTTTCTTTTTCCTCCAGGGCCCGGCCTAACACTTCCCAGTGCCTTGCCCACCCCTGGTTCCTGGTAAGTAAGTCCATCTTGGACTCAGCTCCCTGCTCTGCAGAAAGGGAAACAAAAGCCAAGATGTCTCATCAGCATGGATTGTTCTGGCCTGTTGTCCCCAGTTCAGAGGACATCAGCCCCTTCATATGGGCCAGGGGGTATTGGACCCTCGACAAACAATTGCTAGGCAGCTAGAAACAAGGCGTTCCTTCTGCTTTTGTGGGCATCTGGGTAAGAGACTTGCCCTCAGAGTGTCTGAGTGGAGGATATCCTGAAGCTTGCAGTGGGGGGCAGTTTGCTGCCTGTGCCTTTCTGGGCCTGGGTATCCTCAGAGGGACCCCACCAGGGTACCAGTGTCTCTTTGTCACCATAGTCACTCCCCTCCCACTGCAGAAATCCATGCCTGCTGAGGAGGCCCACTTCATCAACACCAAGCAGCTCAAGTTCCTTCTCGCTCGAAGTCGCTGGCAGGTGAGTCCCCCTTTCCCAGGAAAGAGGTGCTGAGGCCAGGGAAGGGAACCTGAATCTAGCTGTGTGTTCCACTTAGGCCAGGAGCACAGGGGTCAGGCTGGCCTGTTCCCTGCTTCTGGGTTCCCTTGAGTGTGCCAGGTATTATGGGCAGAACAACAGAACACCGGATGCAGAAGACCCAGATGTCCTGGGTAACCCCGCTGGGCCCCCTGGGAGCATAGAGGCCGTGGGCACCCCACCCCTGCCATGACTAGCCATGCCCAGTGGATGTTCCTCTGTCCTCATTTCCAGCGCTCCTTGATGAGCTACAAGTCTATCCTGGTGATGCGCTCCATCCCTGAGCTGCTCCAGGGTCCTCCAGACAGTCCGTCCCTAGGAGTGGCCCGGCACCTACGAGGGGAAGCCAGTGGCTCCTCTAGTTCATCGTCTTCCTCGGACAACGAGCTGGCCCCATTTGCCAGGGCGAAGTCACTGCCGCCTTCCCCTGTGACTCACTCCCCGCTACTGCATCCTCGGGGCTTTCTGCGGCCTTCAGCCAGCCTCCCAGAGGAGACAGAAGCCAGCATGCCCCCTGCTGATGCAGCACTGTCAGCATCCCCCCAGGGTGCTGGACCTCCAGCAAGCCCAGGTTGCGTGCCCCGACACACTGTCATCAGCAGCTTGTTCTACCAGCAAGGTGGTGAGAGTTCAGAGCGTGGGAGCAAAACCTTGGGTGCCAAGAGGCACCCGGCTCGGAGGCGGCACCTGCTGAAGGGCGGGTACATCGCAAGGGCCCTACCTGGTCTTCGGGAACCACTGATGGAGCACAGTGTGTTGGAGGAAGAGGCTGCTAGGGAGGAGCAGGCCGCTCTGATGACCAAGACGCCCTCCTTTGAGACTGCCCTGAGACTACCTAACTCCAGTACCCGAGAGGTCCCAGGCAGAAGCCGCTCCCTGGACCACAACCCACCAGACACCACTGGCCCCTCTCCTGAGGAATGTGGAGGGCAATACTTCTTCCCACCCTCCTCAGGGGTAACTCATGAAGCCACTGCCAAAGACATGGGGCACTCAAAGGGGTTCTTGCAGGAGTCTGCCCCCCGTTCACCTGCTACTGGTGACTTGAGGCCTGCTAAGCCAGAAGGCCCTTCCCAGGACAGCTGTAGAGGGAAACCACCCTCTTCCTGTCACTCTGACCTGGGCTCTGGCTCCCAGGAGGGGTGCGGCTCTTCATCATCACAATCACTTGGCTCCTTACCTCCACAGTCATTGAAGAAGGACCTCTTGACACCCTCCCTCTCAGGACAGCCTCAGGCAGCCCCATTCCCAACCCAAGCAAGCCCCGTTCCTGATTCTAAGAAGGAGCCTCTGGATAGCTCTCTGCAGGGAAGGCCCTGTCCGGGTCCCTCCAGTTTTCCAGGGTCAGCCTCCCAAGTGGGTGCCTCCCTGGATACTGAAGGCTTGTCTGAAGCTGAAGACACATTTGACCTCACACCTCCCCTGCAGCGGCCTCAGGAGCAGGCCACCACCCGGAAGTTCTCCCTGGAATCCCGTGGGGGCTATGCAGGGGTGGCAGGCTATGGCACCTTCGCCTTTGGCGGGGATGCAGGGGGCATGCTAGGGCAGGGTCCTCTTTGGGCTAGGATGGCCTGGGCTGTGTCCCAGTCCTCAGAAGAGCAGGATGAAGCTGGGACTGAGAGTTCTAAACCTCTAGACAGCTCAGGGCCCATTGCTGAGACCAGTGGGGTTCCCCTAAGGACTTCTCCCAGCTTCCCTCCATGGCAGGAAGTTGAGCAGGTTTCCCTGGTACAGATCCGGGATCTGTCTGGTGATGCGGAAGCAGCTGACACCATCTCCTTGGACATTTCTGAGGTAGATCCTGCCTACCTCAACCTTTCTGATCTATACGACATCAAATATCTCCCCTTTGAGTTCATGATCTTCAGGAGGGTCCCCAAACCTGTAGAGCAGCCAGAGTCACCTGACTCTGAAACTGAGGCTGGCCAAGGGCTGGCAGACTTCCTAGAGGAGGCGGCGTGGCCCTGGCCAGGAGAGCTGGGCTCGCATACTGGCTTGGAAATCACAGAGGAGTCAGAGGAGCCAGAGGACCTGGAAGCACTGCTGGGAGAGGCTGCTCTGGGCAGGAAACGCAAGTGGTCCCCTTCCCGCGGCCTCTTCCAGTTCTCTGGGAGGTGCCTGTCAGGGGAGGAGCCTGTGGAGCTCGGGCTGCGCCAGAGGGTGAAGGCTTCCATGGCTCACATCTCCAGGATCCTGAAGGGCAAGCCGGAAGGTGACCTCCCCTGACATCTCTCATGTCCACATGTCCCTTGTCCTGCACCCATGGTGCTACTTCATCCTCATGTGCCCTCTCAAGTCCCATTGTCCTCCTCCCTGTTCTATGCTACCCACACCATCTGGCCTAACCTCACAGGACTTGGCTCAAATTCTAGGATCCTCTCTGCAGCCGTGACACCCCTCCTTAATGGGTATCTGAGACCATCCCTGACACGTAACAGCTGCAGGGGCCTGGAGCCAGCATCAGAGTCAGACCTTTGGGGAGAGAGGGGGTTCATGGATCAATTCACCAGACCCCAAATCTCTGGCCCAGGAGCCACTCCAAACCCAGACCCTCTGACATGGCCCTTAGTGACCCCATTTCCCTTCCTCTTCAGAGCCTCCATGGCCTCTGGCTTCCCTAACCCTGGGCCCAGCCCCCAGGCACCCCACAGCCATCTATCTATGTCCTGTGCTCAGGCCTGTGTCATGACAGACTTGCCGAGGGAGGTTGGTGGTGGCTTCAGCAGCTTAGTTCTGTTTTCCCACATACTTCCTAAGGTCCTGGCCGATTTCCCAGGCTGAGGAAGATGATGCTGTCTTGCTTCTCCCCCTGAGCTCCTGGCCCTCTTTCTCTCGCAGGTCCTGAGAAGGAGGAGCCCCCCAGGAAGAAGGCGGGCCTAGCTTCTTTCCGGCTGTCAGGCCTGAAGGGCAGGGACCAAGGTAAGCAGGGATCATAACTGTGGGAGTCCAGTGTGGGTTTCTGGTGTAGAGGTCTAAGCCGTCTTGGAAGGCTTCTGTTGAAGCCGAGGGAAGAGCTGGGCTGTCTGGTCAGGAAGTCTCCCTCAAGGCTCATCTTATGCCCCCTCTCAGCGCCGTCCTTCCTAAGAGAGCTTTCAGATGAGACTGTGGTCCTGGGCCAGTCAGTGACACTGGCCTGCCAGGTGTTGGCCCAGCCAACTGCCCAGGCTACCTGGAGCAAAGGTAAGGAGCTGTCCCAGAGACTGGGTGCTGGATTGGTGCTGACGAGCAGCAACCACATCCCAGTGGGATGCTGTGGCTGTCCTGGGGCAAACCAAGGCTGACTTTGCTTTGACACAGATGGGGCCCTCCTGGAGAGCAGCGGCCACCTCCTCATCTCTTCCACCCTGAAGAACTTCCAGCTGTTGACCATCCTGGTGGTGAAGGAGGAGGATCTGGGTACATACACCTGCTGTGTGAGCAATCCGCTGGGGACAGCCGTCACTACAGGTGTCCTCCGGAAAGCAGGTGTGTAGGCCACACCAGACGTCTCTGCCAGGTCGAGGAGGCTGGGCTGGGGGTTCCAGGAGCTCTGATCTTGATTAGTGAGCAGGACGTTGCTGGCTTCTTATGAGGGGGTCCATGCAACTGGGACTTGGAGGGAACTCAAGAAAAGTCAGAGGTAGATAAAGCTGCTAATGTTGTCTTGTGCCGATCCGAGAGCTTCCTCTCCAGATGGTTACACCTCGTTTTCTTGTATGGCTTTCTGAATTGGTTTCTGCAGCGTCCACGGGTGTTTCTGCAGCATTGAAGCAAGGGACTATTGGCCTGCCTCTGGTACCCGTTCATCACTGGGTGGCCTGTATGCCTTATGCTGGGGCACTCAGAAGAGATGAGGCACTAACCAGGGCCACTCCCTAGGGTCTTGAGTGTGCCCGGTGAGATGCCAGCAGGGATCGTGACAGAGATAGCCAGGCAGACATCCCTGCACCCCCACAGCCTCTTCTCACCCTATCTTGAAACCCCTCTCCAGAACCGGTAGAGGGTCGGCCCGGCAGTTGTTGAGAGTGAGATAGGTGTGGCCAGAGATTGCTCCATGTGAGTCGAGCATCCATGCCGATCACAGGGTTGCCTTTTGCAGAGCGCCCCTCGTCCTCTCCACGCCCAGAGGTGGGGGAAGTGTACTCGGATGCAGTGCTGCTTGTCTGGAAGCCTGTGGAATCCTGCGGCCCAGTGACCTACATAGTGCAGTGCTGTATAGAAGGTATAGGCTTCCAGAGGCTCAGGCCTCTGTGCAGGGTTGACGCGGAGAGGCACTGTGGGTGCGTCTGCTCTGTGTCTGTGGGTGGCCTCAGGAAAGGGGTTCCCTTGATTTGGCATGACTGCTTCTCACTCTCTCCTGTGTGGTCAGGAGGCAGCTGGACCACCCTGGCCTCTGACATCTCCGATTGCTGCTACATCACCAGCAAGCTGTCTCGGGGTGGCATGTATACCTTCCGAACAGCGTGTGTCAGCAAAGCAGGAATGGGCCCCTACAGCAGCCCTTCAGACCAAGTCCTCCTGGGAGGGCTCAACCATCTGGGTAAGCTTTGGGGTGGATGGGACGGAGAAGGGTGGCCATCAGATCAGGCATGGACACCCTCTTGCTCACGGATGATCTACTTGCCTGCATTCAGCATTCAGAGCTTACACTCCCTGGGAACCCCATCATCTTCCTATCCCCCTTCACTCACCAGCTCCCTCCTCGTGTTATCCCAGGAGTTGATCACGGTTGATTTTTTTACTTCACTGGGTGCTGTGTTTGCATCTGATGGGAGAGTGCTATGGTTGATTGGAAATGGCTGGTGTAGACTCAGGAATGACAGGTGGCATTTGAGTACTATCTGGTTCCACCCTGGAATGTCCTCTACCATTATCACACACACACAATCAGTCAAGATGGTGGACTCTGCCACGACCCTCCCTTGTCCAAGTTTCTCCTCCAATGCATACATAAGTGTTCAAGGATTGAGGGGGTCAAAGTGCATGGGAGCCTAAAGAAGGGCCACTTTTCTAGGGTTTGGTGATGGACTATGAGAGATGTGAGGGACAGGGCTACCTGGGTGTCCCTCCCTGACTAGGTTCCCATTTCTCCTTCTACAGCCTCCGAGGAGGAGAGTGGCCGGGGGAGGCCAGCCCAGCTTCTCCCCAGCACAAAGACCTTCGCCTTCCAGATGCAGATCCGGAGGTGCAGGGGTGTCTGCAGAGGGTGGGAGGGTGGGAAGGTCCCTTAACTCCTCCCGCGGGCTTTTCATGCCCGGCGTCCCAGTGCAACTGCCCAGTACAGCTGTCACTGGCCCCTTACCTTATCTGCTCATTGAGCTTGGTCCCTGCTGCTCTAAGTGTGGGGACTCCTCACAAGCACCTGTGTTTCCTTTACGCAGGGGCCGCTTCAGTGTGGTACGGCAGTGTAGGGAGAAGGCCAGTGGGCGGGCGCTGGCTGCTAAGATTGTCCCCTACCGGCCTGAGGACAAGACAGCTGTGCTAAGAGAATATGAAGCACTCAAGAGACTGCATCACCCACATCTGGCCCAACTCCATGCTGCCTACCTCAGTCCCCGGCACCTGGTGCTCATCCTGGAGCTGTGCTCTGGCCCTGAGCTGCTACCCTGCCTGGCAGAGAGGTGAGGGGTAGCATGGGTTGCTTGGGAGACAGGCAGGCAGATGTCTCTGGGAGGGACCCGTGAGAACTGTGACCACATCAAGCAGGGACTTGGCCGAACCCGATGCTCCTTTTTGGCTTTTGCCAGGACAGTGTTCTCAGCCTTCCCCGTGTGTGCCTAGCCCTGCCTTGGGCCCATCCTGAGCCCTCTGTGCCCCTAGGGACTCCTACTCAGAGTCTGACGTGAAGGACTACCTGTGGCAGATGCTAAGCGCCACCCAGTACCTGCATGCCCAACGCATCCTGCACCTGGACCTGAGGTCCGAGAACATGATGGTCACTGAGTACAACCTGCTTAAGGTGGTGGACCTGGGCAACGCTCAGAGCCTCGGCCAAGAGAAGGTCCCACCCCCTGAGAACTTCAAAGACTACCTAGAGACCATGGGTGCGTATGTGACTCCCCGTCTGTTGGGGGAGGGAGGGAGCTCGTCCCTAACTGGCTTCCCTCCTTCCCAGCTCCACTGACACCTCTCACATGCTGGGCATCTGGGCTCAGATGCCCGGCATGTCACCTGACTCCTCCACTGACATCCACCACCTGACCCACCCAACTGTGCCCAACCATCTGTGTCCACCCATGCTCCTCTGCAGCTCCGGAACTCCTGGAAGGCCAAGGGGCTGTCCCACAGACAGATATCTGGGCTATTGGTGTAACAGCCTTCATTATGTGAGTCCCTCAGGTGTCTGGGGAAGCTGTGCTACGTGGGTGGGACAAGGCCCATACACCGAGCCCTGTGGATCCCCACAAGTACACCCAGAATTTGGTCCCCATACGTTACCTTTCATTATGGTGAGCTTGATGTCCCTACATCTCCTATTCATCCCTGAGCGTCTCCTGTGCCTCTCACCCACGCAGGCTGAGTGGCGAGTACCCCGTCAGCAGTGAGGGGACTCGCGACCTGCAGAAAGGCTTGCGCAAGGGACTCATCCGGTTGAGTCGCTGCTATGCAGGGCTGTCTGGAGGTGCCGTGGCCTTCCTGCAGAGCTCACTGTGCGCTCGACCCTGGTAAGGAGTCCAGTCTGTGCTCCGCCCACTCTCGCGGGCCCAGCCCACCGTGCTGGCCTCACCCTTCCCTCTCTGTTTGTCTCGCCCAACACCTCGCCCTCCCAAGCCTAACCCTCAGACCCTGAATGGTTCACTTAATGTTTCAGGGGCCGCCCATGCGCCACCACCTGCTTGCAGTGTGGGTGGCTGACAGAGGAGGGTCCCGCCGGTTCCAGACCCACGCCTGTGACATTCCCCACCGCGCGATTGCGCGCCTTCGTGCGCGAGCGCGAGAAGCGACGGGCGCTACTCTACAAGAAGCATAACCTGGCCCAGGTACGCTGAGGTCCTGCTCTGCAGGGCAAGATGTGCCTTGCCACACGAGGACACCTGCGCCAATAAAAGATGCAAAACAGCCAAAGAGTTTCCTGTCTCATTGAGTCACCTTCCTGGTGTTTGGGGTCTTCATTCATAGAGTTTTGGAACTTGAGAATCACAACTTGTACCCCAAGTGATATCCAGTCACCCATCCTCAATAAACCAATTAAAATGTGGCTCCATTGGGAAGAGGGACAAAGAGACATAGCAAACCCCTCAAGTCGATCTTCAGCATCTGAAGTAAGACTTAAAGTTTAGAGGGCCAAGGATATGCACATCTCAGCAGTGCCGGCCAAGATGCGGTCTCATCCAGCCCGGTCATCTGGGTTTCGCCTACATCTTGTGAAATGCTCTGATAGGTTGATAGAACTGTTTGAAATCTCTTTTGGAGATAAGTGGCCCCTCTGGATGGTGCCTTTTTCTGGGGTGGGGGTGGAGGGACGGTGATGACTCCTATTTCTTTAGGGTCTATTGATAAAATTGAGAGACACAAGTGCTTCTTTAGGACATTATTGCTGCCAGACTGATAACAATTGGAGCAGATCCCCCAGGAACCTTTGGCTCCGGAAGCCTGAAGTGGTGTAGTGATGGTCTCACATCCTGTTCCTGCATTTCTATTAATCTTTGGGCCTCAGCTCCTCCTCGTCACATAAACCCGTTGGCCTCTCCCCTGCCTTAGTGTGCAGCTGTGACCTGAACATCTTGGCTGTGTCTGTTCTTGGTCAAGAGATCAATCAGAAAGCACTGCTGGGGTTGGACAGAGGGCTCAGCGGTTAAGAGCACTGACTGCTCCACCAGAGGTGCTGAGTTCAATTCCTAGCAACCGCATGGAGGCTCACCACCATCTCTAGTGGGATCGGATGCTCTCTTCTGGCACAAAGCTGTACATGCAGACAGAGCACTCCTACAGAAAATAAATATTTGAGTGGGTAGGAAGAGTACTGCTTGGCCATGAACCTCTGAGGTCTCTCTCTAGGCCTTGTCTTGGGATTGCTGGTTCATGGCCATGGTGAAAAACAAGCCATCTTGCCACATTACCTACGGTGTGTGTGGCCTTGGATCCCTGCTTTTACATATGGATGTTCTGATAAAGTCACCCCATTGCATTCTCACCAGAGCCTGTGGTGAGGAAACTCATCACTGCCTCTTCTCAGAGCAGGAAAAAAAAAAAAAAAACAAAACACCATTCCCCTTGGCCAGGATCCAAAAAGCAGTTTTACTATCTCCCTGGAGGGCTGACCTGAGGGACCTCCCCACAGGGCCTTGACTCTCTAAGATCCTAATGTCCAGTAACACCACCCTAAAAAGCAAGCCTGTGACACGTAGATGCCTGAAGGCTAGTCCACATCATAACTGCCGAAGCTTGGGAAGGGACATCTAGAAGCAGGCAAGGAGGGAGGTCCCTCTCTTAGAATAAACCCCCTTGCAGAATCTAACCTTGGGGGGGCAAGCCCTTTCAGCCAGGCCCCTTCTGCCATGGATAGAAACAAGGCTCTGCTCCTTATCATGGCCATAGGCCAGGAACCCCAAGCCAGTCTAAGACCCCGAGTGTTCACGGCCAGCAGTTTCTCCTGATTTTCACTTGGTCAAAGGCTGACTCGTGTGCGGTTGATACAGATGTCCTGGGGGCAAGCTGTGGCAATGTTTGCTTATAGCTGGGTACCAGGGGTTGCTGCTCTGACTAGTCTCCTGTGACTGAGAGGCTTTGAGGTACCAGTCAGTACTGTCTCTGCTTTTTGAAAGCATCCAAGCTGGAACCAATTCTTATTTTACTGGACCCTTAGATCTTTTTGCACCTAGGGTCCCTTGATCTCAGAACTGGGACTGGTCCCCATCTCCCCACTGACCTGATTTCACCAGGGCCTGTGCACAGACATGCCCCTCGTTTGTTGCTATAATATAATAATAATAATAATGATAATAATAACAATAATAATAATATAATATAGCACTCGGGGCTGCTGAATATGTGACAAGGATCATTTACTTTCTGGCTTCCTGGGAGCGGAAAGTCCAAGTCTGTGCCCCCACGACTCTGCCTCTGGTGACAGCCCCTGACTGTGTCACATCCTAGTGGATGGCACTGATAAAAGATGAATGAGATGTCCTCATGTTAATTATGAAAACCAGAGGGTGGGAGAATGGGATTAACAGCTAAAGACACAGACGCAAACATACTATGGAACCTGGGCTGCAGGGTCCATCTGCCCCATGACATCTCTGAACATAGCCCCAAGCATTCCAGAAACACCAAGTTCATCTCTTCAGAGCTCTTTGTCCTATCAGATTCTCCTTGTCTCTCTGTCCAGGGTAGGGTAGGATCCCTCTGGGAGACAAATGGACAGCATAAAATCAAATTGCTTCTGCTCAGCAAATAGAGCAATGGTCGGAGTGAAAAGCACCTTCAGGATGAGAGAGCATCTTTGCCAGTCAGCCATCTGACAAAGGATTAATATCTGGAACATGTGAAGAACTAAAACATATTATCTAATCGATAAATAGGAATATGAATTAGACAGCCAACTATCAAAAGAAGTACAAATACCTAATAAACACACGCAAATATTCAGTAACCTAAGCTATCAGGGAAACACAAATCAAAAGTACATCGAGGGGTTAGGTGTGGTGGCTCTTGCAATTTAATCTCAGCATTCCAGAGCAGAGCATGTATATCTGTGTGAGTTCAAGGCCATCCTGGCCTACATGGTGAAACTTTACCTCAAACAAAACAGCAACTTCACTGAAGTTCTAGCCTGCTTCAATCAGAAAGACTCAAGGAAACAAATGAGCTGGAGAGATGGCTTACTGGTCAAGAGCACTTGTTGCCCTTGCAGAAGACCGATATTTTTGTTTGTTTAATTCTAAGACTTTAATTCACTTAAGTTGGCTGAAGTTTTGGTGAGAACCTGTGTGACAAGACTTTTATTCGGGTTTGAGGACAACAGAGATAGTAAAACAGGAAAGCAGCTCCCAGGAGTCTCCACGTCGCTCTGGCTTTCATGGTTCTTTGGCAACTTCTCACTTCAGAGTTCACCCACTGCTGGGATAGAGCTCAGCCACCGCTACGGTAGAGCTCAGCCACCGCTATGGTAGAGCTCAGGTACCGCTATGGTAGAGCTCAGCCACTCATTAATCTATGTCCTTGAGTCTCATTCACTGAGAGAAGGGAGTTCCTGGCTGGATGTATGCTCCCTCAACAGGGGCCTCCCTAGGGACCCATATTAGCAGCACAACACTAGACTTACAGAACCCAGTATTTGGCTTTGGTCATGGACTTTACCCTTCTTCAGAACCTGTGTCCAGCTCTTTTCCAAAGCCATGGCTAGGGCTATGACCACACGTTGGTCTCAACCACATGCCTGTCCCCTCTGTTTGTCAGGGTTTCCTTGCCCCAGAAATTACACACAGCATATTGTCTAGAAGCCACAGCCAGTGCTATTGCATGACACAGGTATTACATTTACTGTTAGACTTCCCCTGCCTGGAACTAATATGTGGAAGAGTCCTAGGGCATCCTCTTCAAAGAGAGCTGGTTACAGGACAGGAGCAAGTAGATGATGAGCTACGTGAGAAAGTACCCACTAACCCCAGGGGATCAAGTCCTTTTGGTGCCGCACCACTCAACACACATGTGGAATAAAGAACACGTGGAATCTCCAGTTTGCCATGCCTGTGTGGGAAAGAGTTGTCTTAGATCTGGTGGCCTGTGAGCCTCGTTTCTTCACTGACTACCTCCTTGAGCCACGTCTGTCTGGCAGGTCAGTTTTTCTTCTTTTGCTTTTTAACTGTATGTGCAAGAGAGGGTTTTAAGCAGCGTGTGAGTGCAGATGTCCTCAGAAGCCAGATATGGGATTCCTGGGAGCAGGAGTTATAAGCAGTTGTGAGCTGCCCAACCTGGGCGCTGGAGCCAAAGTCAGTTCAGACTCCGCCAAAGCACCATGTGCCTTTATCCGCTGAGCCACCTTGCCAATCCAAGGTCCCAGTTATTTTCCCCACAGGATAAGCAGAGGACACTGTTCCAGATGACCGTTTATTTAATGTTTCCCTTTCAATAAATAAAAGCTAAAACTCCCAGAAGTGCAATACAAACAGCCACTGCTGGCTCCTATGCACTCGGGAAGGGACTGTGCGGCTTACTCTGCAAGGCAGGCAGCTGCGGGCAGTGTACCAAAACTAGCCAGACGCCAGGGAAGCCCCTCTGAAGGCAAAACCAGACAAGTCTCAGAACAGAAGGGTGTATTCAAGTGTTGTTTCTGAGTTCCACTTCTGGGCCCCTTCTGTGCTAAATACAAAGATGAATCCTTTAGGATCCGCCCCCAGCAGACTTCCATCTCTGGGGCCAGGCTGCTGCCTACTCATCCTTCCCTGTGGCCACACCTACTATGCTAAGGACTCTGAGCAACACTTGCATTTACTGGATCAAATCCTGAGCACTGGTGGGCTTGAAGCTGGCTCCCTACCTAACCTTACCTAGTTCATTTCGGGGATGGCGTGGCATGCTTTTTGGCACAGCAGTGTGGACAGGCCTGGATTACTTCTGGAAAAGCCCATCACATCACTGGAACCTCAAGTCAGAGGTGCTGGTGACACATGGGACTTAGTGATTTGGTGAGGGCTTTTGGCACTAAGTGCCATCAGTGGCAGAGAGGATCCCCACCCTGAGGACAGAGCCCAGCCCAGCGTACTCCCACTCATCCTGTCTCTGAGACGGAGGACTTGTGATCCCCACGTGTGGTTAGAAAGGCACTGTGTGCGTCTCCTAATACTCACAGGACATCGTCTGCCTCTTGGGCCTCTGCATGGTCAGAGCAAGGGACCAGGAGAGGTGAAGGGACTTCTCTAGACTGTCTGGGTCACTGGGGACCAAGGGTGTCCCCAGGCACACCGATCAGCCTGCAGATGGTCATAGGGGTCGGGCTACTAGACAAAGGTGAGAAGAGGGGCCGGAGTGTACCTGAGAAGGGGGTCTCAGGGAAAATAAACAGCAGCGACCCATCTGTGGCACTGTAGAAGGAGAGATGACCAGCTTCATAGTCCAGAAAGATCCCCACGCGCTTGGGAGGGTCCCGTAGCGGGGAGAAGGCCCGCTCGGTAGAATTATAGAAACTCCCCAGGAACACCAGAATCCAGAACCCGTTGCCAACTGACAGCTCCCCCTTCTCCTTCCTGTTGACATTTTCTTTACATACACCAAGCGCCCAGCTGGTACGGTCCCCAACTTCTACCTCCCAGTAATGGCGGCCAGAAGTAATGCGTTCCTGGCCTAGCACGCAGGGGCCTGGGTCAAACCGCTCTGGGCTGTCAGGCAGGGCCTGCCGCTGGTCACCTCGCTGCACACTCCTCCGGTCCTCAGATAAGACCAGCTCCGGGTTGGCAGTGTCTGGGTCCAGAGTTATGTCCCCTGTGGAGAAGCCCGAGGTCAACCACACTCCCAAGTCAGCCCCCATCCACTCTGGCAATCAGCCACATCCTCCCCAGCAGCCCATGCTGCTGTTGGCTGGAGCCTCAGGTTTAAGTAACTATCCCCAGTGAAGAACTTCCTCTCCCTGGGAAAAAACACCTACTCTATCTTTACTCTACATATCTTTCTATGTTCTAGAAAACAGTCCCACATCTCCTTCTGATGACGAGAGGGCATTCTGACTGATTGCTTACTACACAGTCGAGGGTGACCTTGAAGTGTGGATCCTTCTGTTCCACCACGTCCTGACTACTTTTTACCTTTGTTTATTTTCCTTTCAGTCTCCAATGGAAGACTGGGTTTGGGTGGCAGTGGCACCCTGGGCCCTGTAGCATTCTAACTTCCCAGATCACTGTCTCAGGGGACTTCTGGTCTACCTACCTCTGGGCCTGGCATGCCCCCACCCCCATCGACCTTTGACTTGAACCAAGGGCAGCAGTCCTTGGACAACCAAGGCTTACAACAGAGTCCATCCCTGGCTCCAGAGGAAGGCCTGACAACACGCTCTGTCAGTCGTAATGGCCCCCTTACATCACACCTGAACTTATGCTGTTAAGATGGCTCAGGTGGGGCCTGCTGATGATGTCAGGATGGGGCTGGTCACCACAGCCAGCTGTGGGACAGAAGAATGTGCATTTCAGCCTCATTCATGGGTTCGAGGAGAGGAGAGGAGGGGAGGGGAGGAGGCAGGAGTCAAGTTTGCTCATAATGATCTGGCACACTGTACCCACAGAACAGAACCTCCCCCAAACTCCTTAAAGGTGGGGGTCCAAGGAGATGCTGAGCTGGGGAGCTCATCAAAGTGCCAGGAGGGTAGTGTCCAGTGAGGGCAGGAAGGCTGTATACCTATCCTCCAGCCTTGCCCACGCATCTCTTTTTTTTTTTGTTTTTTGAGACAGCGTTTCTCTGTAGTTTTGGAGCCTGTTCTGGAACTCGCCCTGTAGACCAGGCTGGCCTCAAACTCACAGAGATTTGCCCGCCTCTGCCTCTGAGTGCTGGGATTTAAGGCGTGCATCACCACCAACCGACCACACATCTCTTTCTTAACTGTAGCTTTTGTTACCAGTTAATACTAAGCAAAGTGACTCCTGGATTTTGTGAGCCACCCTTGCAAATTATCTGATAGTACGCAGGGGCTGTCCTCACAGCCCTTGGAGGAAGAGCAGGCATATGGGCGCCCCTGAGTCTTGGAAGTGGCATTGAAGTAGGGCAGTCTGGTGAGGCTGGGCCTGACGGAGAACGGCTTGGTTTGGAAAAACAGCCATGCATGGTAACATGTCTAAAGCAGAGGGAAGTTTCTAGAACAGCTGCTCTAAGCTACTGGATCCATGACAGCTCTGCTCCCAGGACTGAACACCTACCTCGGAACCTCCGCAGGATCTCCACCAGCCCTGGGACTCGGCACACGGTCCTCAGCTCCATGGGCACCACCTCTGGAGGCTGCAGCTTCACATCCTGCACCCTACAGGGGACAGCTCAGCTTCATGCTTGGGGCCAGCAGCTGGGCCCCACCCAAACCCTGCCCGGCTGCCCAGGCTCATACCTGCATAGGGCGTCCTTAATGTCCTGTTGGAGGGAGGAAGGGTACACTCATTACCAAGGCTTGTGACCTCATCCTAGGTCTCCCCAGATCACTCCAGCCCCATTTGGCAAAGACACACACACATAAGTGGGATCAGGTCACAGGCCAGACACAGGAATGCTACAAGGGTCTAGAGTCCTGCGGAGAAGTGTCCTGGAGGGTAGATCAGGTCCAGATCAAGCTCTGCTTCTTCACAGAATCCCATGTAGCAGGACTCCTTGCTACTCTTAGAACAGGACAGGCACATGTGTTTGCCCCACGAATGGGAGTGCTGTGTCAGGTGAGGCCCTCACTAAGAGCCCAGCCCTATGCCCCCCACTATGTACCCACTGTGTCCTCTGCCCCTTCTCCTGATACTGCCTCCAAGGTCCCACAGATGCCCCGGCTTGGCCCCATGCCTTGTTCATCCTTCTGTGTCTGTTTATCTAATCTGCACCCGTACTGCAGTCAGCAGCCAAGCTGTGTCCTTCCCTCCTCCAAACCTTGGAATGTAACTGTATTTCAAGATTCAGTCTTGTCAAAAATTACTATTAGATACATCCCTATTTTTTTATTGATCAGAGAGGTTCCAAATGCCCCCACCACCACCAAACACAGGCTTACCACTGCTCTTGGTTACCTACCATAAATAGAAGGCAAGCCTCTATTGCTGAAGACACAACACACTTTGGTTCGCAGGTCATAGAGAAATCAAGTTCAATGGACCTGGAAATTACCTCCCTGATGGCTAGCTTTCAGAGGACTAAAGTCATCAACAAACTCACCCAGAGGTAGATCCTAGTGCAATGCCAACCTATGGGGCAAGATGTGCCCACTGCTAATAGTGGCATAGGCTATGGGGTAACCAACTGTTTTTTCATTGGATTTGAGATCTGCTCAGCAGGACAAAGGAATTTATGCCTGAAAGGCTGGGAAGGCCATAGGCTCTAGAGGGGAACCTACAACTATTGATTTGCTAAACAGACATTTATCAAGCCACCTCCTAAATGTTTATGTTTATATCTATAGGTAAGTGCTGCCCCTCAACCTTGGCTAGAGAAGATTCTCTCTGCAGGAGGCAGGAGGCAGTGCAGAGCCTCAACACTAGTCAAAGTCCAGAGAATGCTCAACAAGTCATTTTTGTCCGCATGGACATCCCCACAAGGGACATCACAGGAGAGAGCGGAGGATGGAGGGAAATGCTGGGAAATGCTATCTCTGGACCTGACATGCCCACTGGGCTTAGGAATTCAGAGCAGCTGTGGTTACCTGCACAAGACCAAGCCAGTCAGGAAGTCCAGCATGATAGGGGAGGGCTCATTAGGCAACTGCCAGGTTGTCTAGCACGTATGGGCAACACAAACTGGACTCGGGGTCATTTAAATGAAAAAGAGGAGAGAGAGAGAGAGAGAGAGAGAGAGAGAGAGAGAGAGAAGACAAGACGAAGGGAAGAGTGTCAGGGAGTAGGATATAGGTGTATGAAACTTAAAAAAAAATTCTTTTTTCTTTTTGTTTTTTTTGTTGGTTTTTCAAGACAGGATTTCTTTGTATAGCCTTGGTTGTCCTGGAACTCACTCTGTAGACTATGCTGGCCTTGAACTCACAGAGATCTGCCTACCTCTCTCCGCCTCCTAAGTGCTGGGATTGTGTACCACCACCACCTGGTGAGAAGCAATAAAATTTCTTTAAAAAAAAAATCACAGCAGGGAGGCGATGTTGCACACCTTTAATCCTAGCACTCAGAGGTTGAGGCAGGCAAGTCTCTGTGAGTTCTACAGCCTGGTCTACAGAGTGGATTTCAGGACAGCCAAGGCTACAAAAGTCCAGGGAAAAGAGGAGCAGGAGGGGGGCAGGCCGTAGTGCAATACAAGTGGGGGAAGATGGAGGGCACAGGTGGCAGCTAGGTAGCCTGGTGGGGTGAAATACGAGTGCATGGCCAAACCCGCCACATACAAAAACAAATTCAAACCTGGTATTCACACAGATCTCTACACGCCCATCTCCAAGTCACCCCTTCTTCCTAAAACCTTCCAGCATTTCCCTAAAACCTTCCAGCATTTCGTTTTCCTATAACCCAGGAGGGTGACTGTGGCTAACAGCCTGTACCCTAGCACGTCTGATGAATCACAAGACTTTTTGTGTTTCTCGTCTGGACCAGTGAGTCTCACTAGTTGCTCACATGAGTATGAGCACCTTATTGTGGGTACACCACACACACACACACACACACACACACACACACACACATGCACACACACACGTTAGGTGAGAGGCATGTCAGTGCATTTAATCTGCTTTCCTGGCATAGGCCTCTGTCTCCATTCCTCTCTGTTCCCCTGGTCTTCCCTTCAAGAGCTCACAGAGACATTTCTATTTGGCAGGTTCTAACCATCTGACAGCTTGGTAACAAAATCCCTAGGTGTCTCTTCCCAGTGAGCCACCCTCCTGCTATGTACCCAGCACCTGGGCCCAGAGGGAGCACACTGCCTCTGTCCTACATGGAAGGCAAAGAGCCAGTCTTAGACCCTACATCTACATACCAGGTAGATGGCATTGGGGCATTGGGTGGCACAAAGCACAACCAAGTCACTAAGGAAGGGCAACAGTGAACCCCACAGCCTGCACTCAGCAGTCACCCCCTGAATCCCATCAATGCCCACTTGACAAATGGGGAGATTGAAGCCCTGAGCCTGTTGAAGGGTCCTAGAACTGTTCATGTCATCTAGACTGCCCTGCGACAGAGGGCAGAGGGCCCTGAGTGTTCTTGTTTTGGGGAAATGAAGCCAAGATTCAGGGAGGAGCAGAACTGAGGCATACATCTTGGGGATAACTTTAAAAAAAGCATCAAAGAAGAAGCAAGGTGCAAAGGGACCAGCTAATTTCAAGATACACATGGAAATTTAATCCCCACCATGAGGTCTTCTGAGGAGGACTTTTCTGAAGTGATTTGTCCTAGTGGTTCTGAGAGCCCCTATCAGAGGCAGATGCCTGACCTTAACTCTCACATTGCTCTGGCAGGAAATGATGGGGACAACCCCCCCCCACAAAGATAACTAGACATTCAGGGGTGAATAGGGAGTGGAGAGTATAGATCACAAGCTGAAAGGGTTGGGGTGGGAGTCCTACTGAGAGCTCTCAGAGGTCCAGGAGCAAGAATGAGTAACCAGAGAGGGACAGAAGCATCTCCCTGAGCTAAACGAGTCCTATCCTGTCCCCCAAAGTACACAGGCTGGCCCACATCCACTCTGCGGTGTCCACAGAGAACAGCAGGTGAGGCCAGCCAGCCTGAGAAGATGGGAAGTTGTTGCTGGGACTTCTTTCACGGTCCACCTCACGGTGTGCCCTCGTGTCACACCTGTACACTCAGCTGACTGTGGGTTGAAAGTAAAAACACATCTGGACGGAACACATGACATTTTCCCTTCTCATTATCCCTTAAAAATAGCGCAGCAGCTGTTGACAGCGTATCCAGGATATTCAGACTCTCCGGTCAGCCCGCAACAACTGAAGGCAGGCAGAGGATGTGCATAACTGATACGCAAACGCTGCACCCTTTTGTCTAAGGAACTGGCGCATCCCCACTGCAAGCCTTGGGGGCTGGCATCCCTCTCCGTGGACACCACGGAGTGTTTCTTTCTTTCTTTTATTCATCACACTGAGTGTTGGGACACAGAATACTGGGCACCCATCTGAGTCACTGTGATATTTACAGGAAAGACGGGCAGGCCAGGCTCTCTGTAGACTTGAGTCTATTATGGACAAGCTCTGCCAACGCTTTCTCATTCTGAATCCTTTGCCAGCTCGCCCCCCTCACATGGAGCACAGTATGAAATACCAGGCCTGCGTATGGCCAGTGGTGGAGGCAGAAGGCAGGTAAGAGCCTCGAACTTGGGGCTGTACTGCATGCCCTGTGGTGACCCTGCAATAAGAAGGTGCAGACCCTGTGTGTCTGGAGAGGAAGCAGCATGCCCAGCAGTGGGGTGAAGGGTATGTACGCGATGTTCCCCTTGGGAGTACCGTGGACCTCCAGGACATTCTGCCAGCCCACTCACCTGCAATAATCCCAGCGCTGGCAGCTGGCAGCGGTTCTCAAGCTCTGAGATGAGGGCTGCCAGCTGAGAGCTTTGCTGGCCAAGTCTCGTGGCACCTTCGCGCAGCCGTGGCAGGACCTCCAGCTCCTCTTCCTCCAGCTTCTGCAGCAGTTGCTGCTCCTCCTCTGCCAACAGGCGGCGCAGCCTCTCAAACTCGCCCAGCACATTCTGCCGCTGGCTCTCCACCATCTTCTGTAGGGCACAAGAAAGACAGCTGAGGGCGAGGCCTGATGCCAGACCAGAGATTGACCATTTGGGGATGCCCATACCCCAAACTCACCACCCTAGGCTGATCAGACACAGAATAGACCATCAGGAGCTGTGTAGACCCCAAGAGCTGACAGCGCATCCAATCTGTCACTCATGACTGCCCAGTTACATTGACAACTCTGGGCGATTCACAGCCCAAACCCACCCCTTGAGCCATCAGACCTTCAATCTCCCAGCTGACCTCTAATCTACCACCTGTGGCGACTCAGATTCAAGATCCATTCCTGGGACCAGCTACACCCAACATCTGTCACACAAGCCCCAAATCCATCCCCAGATGTCAGCTGGACAAAGCTGCCACTGCAAAGCTAGATAGATCAAATCTACCCTAAAGCCAAATACCTCCCTGACGCCTAAATACACTACTGTACACCTCCCCATGCCTGGCCTATTCCTGACATCCATCCAGATCCATCCTTGGGATCCCTCATGTCTGGTCCCTCTATGACCCTGAACTCAAGCATGTTAGGACCCCAGGAAGGGCAGAAGGACAGAATCAAACTTTAGCAACCTCTGTTACAGACACACACACACACACACACACACACAAACACACACACACACACACACACACACCACATTCTGGCCTGACCACAGGGAGTCTCAGGCTAGTCTGGCATCCAGCTACTGCTCCCTCCTTCACCCCAGACCCAGCACCTGCCTGCCACAAGGCACAGGTTTCCTCAGCCTGGGCTTGGAACAGCATCGCATCCTCCATTTGTTTCCGCAGGTGTTCCAGTGACTTCTCCAGCCTCCCCTGGTGGGACGGAGACCAGGCGGTGCCATGAGAATCCCAACTGGCATCGGGCCCTATAGGTGGGGCCCAGACACAGAAGTCTGCCTCTTCCCTCCTGACCAACCTCTTCCCCATTGGGCCAAGTGACATTTGTCCAGATAGAGGTAGGATACAATGCTCCCCAGTGTTAGGTGTCCTCCTGATTTGGCAGTATCCCCTTTAATGACAAAGGCTACCCCTCCCCAAACTTACCAAATGTCAAGGTTTCTCCTTATTTTTGGTTCTAGCCCTGTGACCTACGCCAGCCCTGCTCGCTTCTGCAAAGTAGACAGCTTGTTCCCTGCTTGGTGGGCACATCCAGGCTCTCTCAACAGGACACACCCACTAAGCTGGCACTGAAGACTGAGCTTCCTTCCTCTTCCCGTGTGGTCATAAGGGGTCACAGCAAGTCAGAGGCTAAGGTTTGAGTGTCCCCCGAAAATCCTAGGTTGAATACCTGATCACCTAGGTGATGAGCAAGACTTTTGGAAGGTGACTGAGATATGAGAGTAAGGCCTTCTGGATGAGATCTGAGAGTTCCTGCTTCTTCCATGGGAGAACATAACAAGAAGGGGGCTACTTGTGAGCCGGGAAGCAGTCCTAACTAGACACAGCATGCCCTTGGACAGCCTCCAGGACTGTGTGCCACAGCTCTCTGTGGTTAAGACAGAGGAGGGAACATACCGTGGGGGTTCAAACCAGATGCAGATGTGACTTCCCATCCCACTTTTTCTCCCAGTGCCCCATCGTCTGGGTTAGATCTGATCCAGTTTCCATTTCCACGTTCCTGCAGTTTTGCGTACCCCAGAATGGCAAGCATTCCTATGAACAGGTCAACTGGGTAGCGTGTGTTTGTCTCCAACAGGGTCTGTTTATATCGACCCAAACCTTATCAACTCCAGGCCTGGACAAGGTGCTGGGGGAAATCCTGATGTCAGTTAAGGGAGGAGAGATAGAACCCAGCGGCCAGCTGGGCTCGGCCTTCACCAGGGCTATGGCAGAAGCCACGGGCCTGTTCCAGATGCTGTGTAACTTCTCTTGTCACTTGGCTCCATCATTATGTACACCTCCAGCTTGCTTTCCAGGTTCTGTCCACATCTTTCCCGTGTTTCCTCCCAGAACACAGGGCCTCACGCATGCTAAGCGAGTGCCTTACCACTGAGTTACATCTAGCCCTCTATGTTGTAACAGGGTCTTACTGAGTCATCGGTACTGGCTTTGCACTTACTCTGCAACTCAGGTAGGGCCTGAACTTTGATTTCCCTGCCTCAGCCTCCTGAGTAGCTGGACAGACATGAGCCACCATACCCTGCCATTTTCTCATAAAAAAAAACCTTATTATCTCGATTACACGTATGTCTGCAAGTGGGATGTGCACCTCAGTGTGCATGCCTGTAGAGGCCAGACATGTCAGCTCCCTTTGAGCTCGGGTTACAGGTAGCTATGCAATGCTGGGAACTGAACTCGGGCAATCTGGAAGAGCAGTAAACTCTAACTACTGGAGATATCTCTCCTGCCCCCATTTCCCCCTTTTCCATGCTGAGGTCAGGGACAGCATTTTAAACAGAGTGACCTTGTGAAGCAGCAGCACGTGACACCAGCCAAAGCTTCAAGTTCTGGTTGCCCTGGGAATAGCTTGGTTCTCCCCTCAACTCCCAGTTCCAGCCTATGTGAACCATCCTCCCATCTCTCTGATTTTACTGCAGAACTGGAGGCTCCTCTCAGGGTACTATTCACTCATGGCCCCGAGAGCCACAGCCAAAGAGTGAACTTGTCACCTGAGCCATGGAAGCCAGCATGGCCCAGGGGACCCCATGCCAAGCTCCAATAAGTGGAGGAATGGCAGAGTCACCGATCACAAGTAAAAGCCGTTTGCTGACTTCCTGGTTCCCTGTTAAACTGTGTTCCCATACCCAAACCTGCCCAGGTGCTGTGAGGTTTAGGTGGAGGTGAGCGCCTCTGAACAGACACAGAGATATAGGCGGGCAGAAGGCAGAGCATCAGTTCTGTAAGAGACACTCTGCTTTTAGCATCCTACTTCCTAGACAGGTCCACAACTGCTGAGACCCAGAAGTCCAGGTCTCTTTCTGGTAACTCCACCTGTTTGAGTTTCTTTCTTTTTCCTTATGATGCCCTATGCAGGAGAAAATGCTACCAAAGCTGTAACTTTTCTCCTGTTGATCTGTCTTGGCAGCTTAATTGTTACGTTCAGACAATGACCCTAACAAGAATGAGAACAAGGCTTTTCTTTTTCTAATGGAGCAGTTTTAGTGTTGCCCTGCCAGGATTTATCATGTAACTTCTGGAAAGATGTGGGTCCCTTTCAGCACCATCAAGGGGCTTGCGGTGGCAGAAAGGTAAACCCACTGAACCAATGAATCCCGTATGGCTCAAGCAAAACGAAAACCACAGGGATATCTCTGTTTATAAGCTTCGATCACCTGTGCTGAAATCCAAAGCAAAGGAGACTTGGTGCCTGTTTATTCTGGTGACCCGAGTTCATGTTGGGATGGTAACATATTGCCCGAGTGTCAACTCTGACGTCAAACTGTTAATCTCACAGCGGCCCCTTCAGTTCTCCCAGTACAGTCAGTATTGACTGCCAACACCCGGTTTTCCCGGAATGCCGGTGCAATCTCATCCTGGGAAAAGTCAGGCTACACTCTGACCACCTCACGGGACCAGGATAACTGTAACTTATACTCCCTCACCCAAAGCGGGGCAGTGACGGGACTTCCCTTCGCTTCAGGCACGGACCGGCTGCACCCGGCGGAACGCACCTTGAGGTCTTCGGCCGCGTCCTGCAGCGGTCGTACTCGGTGAGCCCAGTGCTCTGAGCGCTCGCAGGTGGGACACAGCAGGCAGAGGTCGTCGCCGCAGAAGGTGGCCAGCGGCTCGCGGTGCGCCGCGCACACGCCCTGCGGGACGGGCGACGGCGGGTGCAGGCGCCGGGCCATTTCTGCCATTTTGGCGAGCGGGCGGTTGGGTCGCAGGTTCCTCTGCGCCGACAGCTCGCGGCACTCGGGACACGCATACGGGCCCTCGGGCTGGCCCCAGCAACGTCGGATGCACTCGCGGCAGAAGTTGTGACCGCAGTCGGTCATCACCGGGTCGGTGAAGTAATCGAGGCAGATGGCGCAGGTGGCCTCTTCCTGGAGGTTGGTGGACAAGTCTGGGGCGGCCATGGTGAGGGTGGCAGCGCCTGGACCAGGCTCTTGCTGGTGCACGGAGATCAGGCTACTCCGCTTGCGGGGTCTGAAGGCGGCACGGGCTCGGGACCAGGTGGACACACTCCCGGCCTCCCGTGTAGTGGGTATGCCCGGGACTAGGCTCGCAGACTTCCGCCGGAAGAGGAACCGTGGCGGAAGCAGGAAACTTTTTTTTTTTTTTGGAACCCGCTTTTGTTCTGGATTGGCCTCTGCTTGTCACACGGCCTGGAGGAGGGACCGAATCGGAGCGCATTAGAGCGCCTATCCACGGTGACAGGTCTCCGCAGATGATGTCCCCGCTCCCCCAGGCTGCAAACTTTGGCCGCAGATCCGGAAAGGGATGTAGAGGAGTACCGAGGCACAGGACGACCCCGAGGACATGCAAACACCCAGGGGATGGAGTTGGTAGTTTCCCAGTGCGCTTTCACCCAGTGTCCACAGCCCGCAGCACCCCTGGACTGCTGTCGCTCAGACACCCACAACGCCACCCTCATGTCTGGGGGCAGACCCGAAGAGATCAGGGATGGGAAACGAGAAACGGTGTCCAGAAGGCTCACAGTGAAAATCACTTCGGAAATGCGCGCGCTTGCCAGGGTGCCCGTAACTTGTAACAGGAATGGAAAGCGAGAGGTTCTTCGGAGAGGGAGTGATAGGAAAGGGCGCTTGGAGGAAGGGGTGAGGAGCCCTCCCTAATTATCTTAAGGGGCGGGGGCGGGGCAAGCTCCACCTTCTCTGTGGAGGATTCGAAGACCAGAGGGCACTAGGAACCAAGACTTCGGCAAGCTTTGGGGCAGGACTAAAGCTAACAAAACGGAAAACCAACTTTCCTGCTGAGCAGGTATATGCTTAGAAATTAATTCACTCGGAAATGTCGGGGCTCTTTCCAAAGTTACCCTCATTTAGCATCTTATCAGTAGTCGGTTCAGAATTTGATCATTTTAATCGTGGTTGTATTTCGGGAAATTGTCCTGCCAGCACAGGTATTGGCTCTCGGCACTCCCAGAGAAAGCCTGGGTAGGTAGCCACAGTGGTGAAGTGCCCTGACTTCCGGGGAACCCGAGGCACGCTCAGGGACTGTGTCTGGTTCCAAGCCTCTATCCCTTCACCCACATGGTCACTGTAGAAATGACCATCTGGCCCGACTTTGGAGTTCCCAAGCAGAAGAACGGCAGCAGCGGCCCAGGGAAGGCAGCCTGGGAAAAGCTGTGCAAGTGACACCCATCGTTCACACTATAGAAGGACACCTCCCCAGCCTGGAAGTCCAGGAAGATGCCCATGTGGCTGGGAGGCTCGGTGAGTGTGATGGGAGTGGAGTCGGTTAACAGGGACAAGTGCTTCTTCCCCTTGGACAGCTGCACTACCCAGAACCCATTTTCCGGGGATTTGGGCACCCTGTCCTTCCGGCTCACGTTGTCCCTGCACACGCCTAAGGCCCAGAGTGCATCCCCGGTAAGATTCATGCCCACTTCCCAGTAGTGCCTTCCAGAGGAAAAGCTCTTCTGTCCCACAGCGCAGGGGTAGGCCACGAACCGGTCCTTGCTGTAGGGGGTGCTGTCCTCTGGTGGTGGGCTCAGGTACCGCCTTTGGCGGCTCTCATACAGGAGGAGATAGGGGTACGCAGAGCTGGGGTCCGGCACCACGTCCTCTGCAGAGGGTCCAGGTGAACAGAGGAAAATAGGGGTCATTCAAGGTCAACGGTGAAAAGGCCAGAACCCTCAAAATAGGCGGACATGAGGCATGGTGGCCAAATGGCTCTTTTCCATACCCACTTAAAATCCTCCCCTCCCCCAGTTCCAACTGAGAATTGGGGTTACCTAAGGGTTTCACACTCCAAATCCCCGTGGACATCAATGACGAGTCACTGGGGATAACTGGGGAAGGCTTAATTCAGCAGATGGTCAGACTTGGAAAGACATTAAGTACAGTTTAAGGCACTAATCACCAGTTGATGACTCTGATCCTGCGTGGCATCCGGGTAAGGTGGAGCAGTGTCCAGAAACCTGGGACTCACGATTGGAGACCTGGGTGTCCGCTTACCTTGGAAACTTTTGAGCACTTCTATCTGCCCTGGAACTCGGCACACGGTCTTGATGGCCACGGGGAGGGCCATCTCTGGATACTGCACGCAGAGGCTCTCCTTCCTCCAAGGAACACAGGCTCATGTGCACTCTGGCTCTCCGTGTGGTCCCCCCTCACCCACCTCCACCACGACCCCTACTGAGGGTGACAAGGTACCTGGCCAAGGTGTCCTTCACATCCTGCAAACAACGGGGAGGAGAGTTAAGAGCTGGTCCCGCTGGTTACCTCTAAGTTACCTCTGCTGCCTACTGCTTTGGGACATGTCCTCTTCCGGACAGCCCCTTCCCAGAGATCAGGGTCATACGCTCCCTGGATCTTCCCTTTCCCTCCAATTGGCAGGCACTAACCATCTCCTCATCCCGCGGACACAAGCCTGAGGTCAGCAGAAAGAAGGTGGCAAGTTCTGGGAAACCTGCACCTTTGCAGCAGCGGGGACAGAACGCAGGGCCCCTGCTAAGCAAGCACTCTACCACTGAGCCACGCCCCCCCCTTGGCTCCTTACCCAATACTTCCGGAGGCAACTGAGCCATGAATTAGTCTTCCTTGTATGTACCATGCCTCTGTGTGTGTGTGCATGTGTGTATATATTATGATGCTGTTTACGAGTCTGGCATAGGAAGATGCTAACGGAACAGCACCATCCCTAACAATAGAGTAAGTCTGTGCTCCCCATCCATCTAAGCGACCCCAGCAGGTGACCTGCAGAGAGCTTCGCTTGAAGGAGGCTGCTCAGGCATCTCCGTGGCACAAATTAAACTGCCATCTTCTCTGCTCCTGTGCTTCGGAGCCATTGTTAACTAAGTGTTACTCGGGCACACCCACAATCCATGGAACATGTAACCCATGTTACACCCACAGCCCATGCCCCCACAGGAGCTTTGACAGCCAAGACAGTTACTGGTGATCACACACAGATACCGTGAACTAAGGACTGGTTCATGCCCTGGGTGGATTTTATCTGAGTATTCCCAGAAGAGCATGCAGTTTAAAACATAAGGACTCTTTGCTTTCTGGATTTTTTTTTTCCCTTCAGTATTTTCAGGTTGAGCAGAAGTGAAGCCATTCAGGAAGTAAAGCTGTGAATAAGGAGGGCAGGGTCCTAAGTTTTCCTTCTTTGGACTCAAGCAGCTGCAGATCCAGTTAGGGTGCATACAGCCATGGGGCAAAGAATGAGGGCAGGGAGCACAGTGGACACGGTTTGAGGAGGGAGAGCCCAGGGCCCCTGGAGAGTTTCTAGAAACCCAAAAGCTACAGACTTCTCAAACACCGTTAACATTCTGGCCTGGGAAATCCATGCATTTACAGTGTTCCCCAGTGGTTTGCTGCCTTGTCTAGAAGTGGTATGCTCCCAGCAGAATCAGGTTGGAATTTAATTGCTAGCGTCGCAGTGCTGAGCAGTCACAGTGTGGGCCCTTAGGAGGTGAGGAGGCCACAAGTCCCTCGGGGTAAACGGAGGTGAGAAGGGGTGAAGAAGTCACCCTGCTTCATTCACGCTCTCAGATGCAGGTTTACTTTTATCATGAGGCCTTCACCAGAGGAGAGCAGTTGGCAATACCATGCTCTTAGACTTCCAGAACTCTGGGCTAAAACAAGCCTCGTTTTTTGTTTTTTGGGTTTTTTAATGCATTTTATTGTCTCTCCCTCAGTGTGTGTGTGTCTACTGGTGGGCACTGTGAGATGTTTGCTGCTCAGCACTGGGATGGGATGGGTGGGTGGCCCTCAGCCCAGCCCAGTCCCGTCCTCTGTGTCAGGCTGCGTGTGTTCCGCAAGCTCCTGGGCTGAGCACACATCCTCAGACCATGCCCCACCTCATGGTGCACCCACAGGTTTGTGGCAGCACAGGGAAGATCCCAGGGATCCTCAGCATCCTCGGGCCTCACCTGCAGCATCTGGAGGGGCTCCTGCTGGCTCTGCTCCTCCAGCTGCAACAGGAGCGTGTCCAGAGAGCTGCTTTGGCGATCCAGGAAGGTTTTGCTCTTCTGCAGCCTCCCTAAGGTATCCTCTTCCTCCTTCTTCAGGACCTGGAGAAGCCGACGTTCCTCTTCCACCAGGAATAGGACCACCTTCTGGAATTCCTCCAGGATACGCTCTCTGCGCTCCTTCACTTTCTCCTGTGGGAGTGGGATGTGCCCAGACAGGATGGCTTTCCTTCACAGTTGCCATACAGCAGTTCTGGACAGTTGGTGACCTACAACTCTTGGTCAAAGTTGGAAACCAGGACCTTTGACAGAGGTCCCCATGCCATCCCTTGTTACAGCCTAACAGATCAGACTCTGAGAGGCAGCATTCACACATTCAAATGTCTGTGTGTCCTAGTGGGGGTGGGTTCAGAACATGCCACCTCAACGAAGGACATAGGTGTGATTCATGAAAAGGACAGTGGTCTCCTAATGACCAGGCTAAAGTCAGACTGGAGTTACCCATATCCCTAAAGCTGACCAAAACTCCTAAGAAATCAGAATTTCACAGACAAGGGGTAGATTTTTCAATCAGGTCCCTCTCTCCTTGCTTTCCTCTCTCCTATCCCCACCGTGTGTGTGTGTGTGTGTGTGTGTGTGTGTGTGTGCAGCATGAGTATTATGTATTTGTCTTCCTTCCTTTTTTTCTGAGACAGGCTCTTCCCAGGTAGCCCTGGGGGGCCTAGAACTGGTTCTATAGTCCAGGCTGACCTTGAAATAACAGATCTTGCTTTTGCCTCCTTGAGTTCTGGGGTCACACACATGTGCACCAAAAAGCCCAACCCCCCGAATAGGCCATTTCCAGTGAACAGGAGGAAGTCACTTGCCCAGCAGTACCACAAGATAAAGGACTGTTAACCAACTTGTCATTTTTCTATTGTCTCCCTGATCCCCACTTTACACAGAAGGTAGCTTTGAAATGAAATGGCCCGTCTGCAGCCCTTCCCAAATGCGAAGGTGCAGCCCACATTTGCTTTATGGGAACTTTGCCTGGTTCTAGAAGAAATAGAGTTATTTAAGATCTGAACTAATTAAAAAAAAACTTTTAAAGGGGACTGGAGAGATGGTTTAACAGTTAAAGGCCCTGCCTGCTCTTCCAGAGGACCAGGGTTTGATTCCCGGCACCCACATAGGCTCACTCATCTTTAAGTCCTGTCCCAGGAGGTCCGATGCCCTCTTCTGGCCTTGTCTGGTACTGCATGCACATTTTTCATAAACACACAGGCAAGATGAATTAAAAAATTATCCGAACTAGACAAGTGCAGAAGTGTTATAGTCATAGCTAGCTGGGAGGCTGCGGCAGGAGGATCACTTCAGCCTATGAGTTTAAGGCTAATTTGAATAATTTATGGAGACCCTGTCTACAAACAAAAGCTTTTAAATGTGTTGTACTTTGGTCCTCTGACAAACTTCATTTGTTCTAGCAGGCTCCATCACCCGAGACTCATTTTTCGTTTGAGGGCCATTCTCACTGTTATTAAAATCATCTTTTAAAATCCTGCTTACCTGTCTTGTGTAAACTTAATTCCAGGTCAGACACCAAACCTTCAGAGTCCAAGAACCCCTTTCCTCCCTGGAGCCTCCCGCTCTGAAAGGGCCCTTCCTGTCGTGGATGAGGATGGATATGGACACACAGGGTGGACGATGGCCATTGGGCACCCACCTGCCATTCAGTTAAGGTCACTTCCCCCTTGGCTTGCAGCGTCTCCGTCTTCATTATCTCCTCCCGAAGATACTTTATGTCTTCCTCCAACTTTGCCTGGACACACAAACACAGGCCTCAGGTAAGTGGACCCCATCTCCGCTTATGTCTGGACTGTGGTCTTTCAGGCTGCACTGAGACCCTCTTACAGGAGCTCAGGAAACCAGACAGTCCCCACCCCCAAATAGCCTCAGCCTCCCAGCTAGCTATAACTATAGCCATGCACTTCTGCACCTGGCTAGTTGGGATAAATTTTTAAAATTCATTTTGCCTGCATGTGCTTCTGAAAAAATGTGCATGCAGTGCCAGGCAAGGCCAGAAGAGGGCGCTGCAACTCCTGGAACGGGACTTAAAGATGGGGCAAGCCACTTTATGGGTGCCGGGAATCAATACAAAACGAAAATCAGAGCACTTTGGCAGTGAGGTGTTCAGCACACAACGCGAACGAGCAAATGACCTTCAGCCAGGAAGTAAAACCGGATGACTGAAGGTTCCAGCTTCCCACTCCGGTGGCCATGCCAGGCTATGGGCCCTGAGTTAGCCCATGAGATGTTGAGGAAAGGAGTCTTTATTGACCTGGATTTTGGAGGTTAGATTGCTGTAATATATACTATATTGGTAAATTGTCTATGCTGTTTGAACTCACTGAGCAGCTGGCTTTGGAAGCAGGGTAGCCTTGCATCTATTTTACACTCGGGCATGTTTGTCTCAAAATGTCCTTGAAAGCCCCTTGTCCTGGGATTGGCTGGCCCCCTAACTGTGGTAAGTAGGGGGAAAAAACAACAACAAGCAAACCACAAAATAGCCCAAGAATAAAAATGTGCCCTTGAGAACAACTAGAAAACAAGGCATTTTCCAGAAGTTGGGACTGTTGATCCTGTGATAGAAAAAAATGTATCATGAGAAACATCCGTGGAGAGAAAGCTCAGTTAGAACAACAACAACAACAAACTCCAGCTGACTGCCTCAACTGCCCCAGTCAACCCTGCTGCCATCTCTAAGTCCCTGATTTGGTAAAGTTGCTTTTGCTCCTTTGGTCAGGCTCCCCCCTCAGTTGTCAGCTCGCTGTTGTAAACTCATTGGATGAAACTTTGCGTTTCTCCACTGCTTCTATCTGCTATTCATTGTTTTTACTTTTGCTTGCTATACACCTAATTACATCACTCACTAATAAACGTGCTACCTTAGACCCTCTCCTTCATGTTGCTTGGCCTCCAAGCATGCACATGCATTTCTATTCTCTCTCTCTCTCTAATTAACAGCAATGCTCTTTTTATGAACTGAAATTCTGCATTCCTCACACCTTGAGTAGAGGCAAACTTGACGGATCCCCCAGCCCCAAGCATTGATCACTAGCTCCTGGTCATTCTTCCCCAGTGCTGACCAAGGCTCCTCCTGGACAGGAGGCCCCGATCTTGCTTTCACCTTATACTCCCTTGCAGCCTCGTCCACAGGCAGCACGCTGTGCACCCGGTGCTCCTGGGCCTCCCTGCAGACCACACAAATAGGGCTCTGGTCATCCCGGCAGAACAGCTTGAGTGGCTCTTGGTGTATCTGGCACAAGTCTCGCTTCTGCAGCCCAGGGTGCTGGCGGGCCATCTCTGCCACCTTTATCAGTAGGCGGTTGGGCCTCAGGTTCCTCTGAGGGGACATCTCCCTGCACTCGGGGCAGGGGAAGTAGCCCTTCTGCTTCTTCTTCCCTTTCTTGCCCTTCCCTTTCTCCCAGCTCATCTGGATGCATTCTCTGCAGAAGTTGTGGCCACAGGCTGTCATCACAGGATCAATAAAGTAGTCGAGGCAGATGGAACAGGTGGCCTCTTCTTGCAGCCTTCTGGCAAGTTCCACAGCATCCATGGCTCCTGGGGAGAAACAAGGGGAGGTTTCCACTATAACCCCCTGGTAGGCAGAAGCACAGAACTGGTGTCCCACGTCTGCCTCCTCTGTTGCTCCTTCATGGATGAGGACAATCGCTGGTGTCCGAATGTGGCATACAAAGACACCATGAACAAATGCTAGCCAGACCCCTGAACCTTGGCTGCTATGCGTGGACTTGGTTCCTAAATCAGCTTAGCCACAAGTTCCTTCCCATGCCTTCTGGGACTCCCGAGCTGTTGTACATCTGCAATCAAGTCCCACCTCGGCCCTAGGGCCACACTCCTACCCCAAAAGTCTGCCACAGAGTCAAGTGCCAGATTACTGACGTTAGCAAATCCCTGGTAAAGCAAAGGAACTTAGAAAGGAAGGGCGATCCTTTCAGTCAAGGTGCAGTGCAGAAAGGACAACACAAGACACACAGACAGAGGGGCTCCATGCAGACACATGCACACACAAACACATGCACACACAAACACATGCACACACAAACACATGCACACACAAACACATGCACACACAAACACATGCACACACAAACACATGCACACACAAACACAGGGGCTGTGTATAGACATGCAGACACATGTGCATACAAACTGGCACACAGGTAAACATGTTTGTAACTACATATGAATACATTTACACAGAAAACATGTGCAAGCACACTTCCACAGTAACAAGCACAGGCATGTGAACACACACACACACAAGAAAGGGTCCAGGAATAAGAATATAAAAATATAGATTCCAGAAATAGGGTCGTAAAAATAAAGAAATATAAAGTTGTAAGCCTAGGAAAATGAGAACAGACTATCAACAGCTTTCTCAGTAGCTTAGGGATTAACTATTAACAGTGGGTTATTTCACTTTACAACCCATAGCTCTATTTGCAAGGCCAAAGCATCTCTCTGCAAACTAAGAGCTAGCCTATGGATATGAGCTGAGTCAGCTTTTAGGAAATAGATATATGACCTCTGGGTTACGTATTATCTTTGGTATGTGAAACTGGCAGCCTCAAAGGGAAGGCACGGGGCTTCAGAAAACACCACCTGGAAGTACCCAGGAAGGCAATAGGCTAAGCACAAACATTAATTTAACTGAGAAATGGAGACTGTAAAGTAAGGCAATCTGTATCTGAGTTTTACCTTGGGATTGTGTGAGAAGCTTTTTACTATCGTCTAAGTTCCCAGCCTGAGAACCAATTATTCTAATTTATTAACCCTCTGATACTACTAGCAGTCCCTTTTTCTGACTAATTGCTAAAGACATCTGTTTTCTTGCAATTAGTGACTTTCACTGTAATTTCCTCTGAAACATATTCCATGATAGCTACCTTGTTACCCACTGACGTTAGAACCCCCACCCCCACCCCAGGGTCTCCCTTGACTAACCTGTGGTCGGGGCAAGATCATAAAAATTCTATTGTTCAGCCCTAATGCTTGGTGCCCCTACTATAAAAAGATGGGTTCAGAAATCAGCCGTTTGCCACAGCCTAACAAACACCATCTCTGACTGTGGTCTCAGCTAGCTGATAAGCTTCTGTGCCCCATGGTGTTTTTATTTTTATTATTATTTTATTTTTAAGTTTGCTTCTGGTTTTCCTGGAATCTGGTTTCTGGAATAAAGTTTACTTCTGGTTTATTAGACTTTGGTGGTCTGTCCCCATCTTTGCGTGACCTCCCTGAACCCAGCAACACACACACACACACACACACACACACACACGTTCATAAACACATGTACAATGCACTGGCTCCCTGGAGTCCTCCTATCCCAGGCAGTGGAGACCCTGAACTGCCCCCATCCTGCTTCCCAAAATCCCTATTGAGAGTTCGGAAATGAAGCTGACCCAATGCTTCCTGTCCCCTCGTCTCAATCCTTAAAGTCAAGGCATTTTCGGACATTCCCGAGTGGTTGCCACGTTAGTTTCATCTGAACTTTCTGTGAGCAGAGCACAGGGCATTAGCTCCTCCTGAACCTCAAGAGCCCTGAGGGGTACACCACCGACCACCTGGTCAGAACGGGAGGGAGGGCCAAAGGGGCGAGGGGACCTCGAGGCTCTTGGTTACCTAAAGTCCTTTGTCAATGAGGGCTCATCTAGGAGACCTATGTAGTCAGAGTGGTTCGTGGTTGAAGCATACAGTTCGAAGTGTGACCTTTGATGGGGACAGGATGGCTGGCTGAGACAGAAGAGCACTGCGAACTAGTAGTATAGGAGGGGCCCCTAGAGTCTCGGTTCAGGGGGTGCTGGAGAGTTCTCTGGGTGGCGAGTACTCACGGGGAAGAGTCTTTCACTGCGCCAGATGCCAGGGCAGGTGCGCCGCGTGGGGGGAAAGGCTGAGTTTGCCCCTTCGGACTGAGAGAAGCCAGGGACTGGGGCAGAGGGGCTTTGTGACGTCAAGGCACACAAGCGCGTTCCCTAGCAAAAGAGCCGCGGGGGCGGGGCTGAGATTGCTATGCGAAGGATGGAGGTGGGGCCTCACTGGTGACGTGTTGGACCAGAGAGAAAGGGGCGGGGACAGACCAACGGATGGCAAAAGATGAGGGATGGGGCTCATTGTTCCTATAGGGCCTTGGTGACCTGGTTGATCCTGTAGGGAAGGTATGGGATTTGCAGGGATGGAAGCCAAGAAAATAGAAAATAGAAAAGGGAAGGTTTAAAAGTTGGGGCTGAAAGCGCACGACTTTAATCCTGTCACTCGGGAGGTTAGAGGCTGGTGGACCTCTGAGTTTGAGGTCAGCCTGGTCTACAGGCCTGTAGGAGTTCCAGAACAGCCGGGGAAGGCTACACAGAGAAACCCTGTCTCGAAAAGCCAAGAAAAAAAAGAAAGCGGGGAGGTAGAGGATAAGTAGTTGGGGCTGGGTCGTTAAGGACAGGGCCTGGCCTGGGGTCCTTGGACTCTTCAGCTCCTAGACCAGGGAGGAAGGAAGCAGCTGTCCTGGTGGACAGTAGGGAAGGTTACTGCCAGCATTTGCATGATTTTGTCTGTGAGATTGTCCGGCTTGTGTAGCACTGGCTGTACTGAAAACCCTGGCAGGCTCCTGTCTCAGCTTCTCCAGTTCTCCAGGTGGGAACCGCCCAATGGGTTCTCAGGATGGCTTTGATGTAGTGGCCCAGCATGTGGGAATCTCAGTCCAATTGAGAAACTGAGGGGACAGATAAAGCTGAGGCTGGGATTATTGGGGTAGAGGGAAATGAAGGAGGCAGGGGTCAGATCCCTGGTTAGCTAAGCAGCGCCAGGATGTCATCCTCATGGCTAGACAGCCTGGCTCTGTGGAGATGGTGGCTATAGGTGTAGATCACTGGTTTTCCAAGGGCTGGCTGGGCTGGGCAATCTCCTCCCTGGCAGGTGTGTACAGCAGTCAGGGGGAAAGCAGCAGACTCTTGGGGAGTAGGAGTGGGTGTGGGGTGCTGAACCCTGCCTTCTGATGGCTGTAGGTGACTCATGTCCACCAGTGAGCGGATTCTGGATCCTGACCCTGCTCACATTTGGAAAAAGGGACCACAGAATTTTAAAGGAAGTAATTTTTAAAACCAAGCAAACAGATATCAGCACTAATGAACACACCCTCCCACCCCATCACCCTCCCACCCCATCACCCTCCCACCCCATCACCCTCCCACCTCATCATTCTCCCCACATCAGCTGCCTAGACAGCATCTTGCTGATCTTGCTAACTGCTGAAGTTCCTGATTGAGAGATTTTTCTTGCAGAGCAGAATGTTTTCTGTGGGCGAACCTCTGGGTTTTTGTTTGCTCTGTCGGCATTTATAACTCATTACTTATTTGTGTATGGGGGAGTGCTATGGGCACACATGGTGGTAGTCATAAAAAAATAAAAGCTAGCAGAAATTGGTTCTCTCCTTTCATGTGAATCCTGGGGATCAAACTCAGGTCACGTCAGGCTTGGCAACTTTGAGCCACCTTGCCAGTCCAGCACTGCCAGGATAAACAACAATAACCCTTGCTGGGAATAGCTTTTTCTTCCCCAGGGCAACGCTGTTTTAATGCCCTTGGTTGTTTGCTGTCCTCCTTTCTCCCTGCCACAGGATTAGGGGCTAGCCTGTGACATGGGACACTTAAAGAGAGTCAGCTCTCAACAAATAGAAGCAACACATGATCACTTACCAGTATAATCTGTATTGTACACTACCCCGTGAGCACTTGTTATAATTATGTTGGGATGTCCTCTAAAATGCCATGCATCGAGGCCTTGCCACCACAGTGTGGCACTAATAAGAAGTGGTAAAGGCAAGGGTGTTAGGATGGCAATCACTCTCCATCTCGTCTTTTTGCCCACGAGGTGAACATCATTACCTCCAATTGTGTTCTTGATGATGGGGACAGCATGAACCCCAAAGCAATAGCCAGCCATGCTGAAACCTCTAAACTCATGATTCAAAATAAACCTCCCTCCTTTGAAGGTGATAACCTCAGGCATTCTGTCACTGGGACACAAACTGAGCAACAACAGGTGTGCTTTTGTTTTTAAAATTTATTTTTATTTTTAATCATGTGTATGTGTGTGGGTCCCTGCTGTAGTGAGTAGGAACGGCGGGCTGTGCCCTGCTGCCTGGCTAGCTTAGCCCCGAAATAATTACACAGACACTGTATTCACTGAAATACTGCCTGGCCCATTACTCCCAGCCAGTTATTGGCTGACTCTCACATCTTGATTAACCCGTCTCTATTAATGTGTATTGCCACTTGACTGTGGCTTACTGACATGAGTCTAACCAGCGTCCATCTTGGGCAGGAGAAACATGGCATCTCCCACACTTTCCTTTTTCCCAGCATTCTGTTCTGTCTACTCTGCCCACCTAAGGGCTGCCCTATCAAAAGGCCAAGGCAGTCTCTTTATTAAACCAATGAAAGCAACAGAAATACAGAAGGACTTCCTACACCATTTCCCCTTTTTCTGTTTAAACAAAAAGGAAGTCTTTAACATAGTAAAATTACATATAACAAAACAGTTATC